CCGACAAGGTTTTCGTGGTTGGTTTTTCGATTCGGCCGGGCACGCTTCGCGGCGGCTGGCCGGCCGGCCGGCCCCATCCGCCCTGTGCGCCTGTCCGTCCTTGCGGCCGCGCTTGCTTGACTTATCCAGATCGATGCGTTTTTACTGTAGTCCGGATTCGTACGCTGGCTGTGACCTGCACAGGTCCAAAAGAAGCAATTTTTTAATTAAGTAGCGTAGGATTGCTCCTGTTTGCTTGGTGAGATTTAGCCTTCAAGGTTTGGGATCTATTTTTACACCCTGTGACTCCTTAATTCGACGATTTTGATCTGCAAAGAAGCCACAGATCTGCTGCAGAAGATGTCGCTGGAATCGCAGCCCAAGGCGGCGGCAGATGGAACCGAGCTTGCTGGTGCCCCCAAGGTATGGATAGAACAGTAAAGATTCCTTGTTCTTCTCCAATTTGTGCAAGCAAGTTCATGGCTTTGCTCCAGGTGACATGTGATTCTGATAATTCTGGTGTTGCTGTTGATTCAGCAGGGACCTGTGGCCAGCCAGCCGCTCAGCGTGTCGATCCCGCAGGACCGGTCCATCACGCCGGTGGTTCAAGATTTTACCGATCCCAACATGTTCTATCTGCCAGCATATTACTATGGAGGTGAGGGACCGGCGATCTGTCCTCTGTTAATTTAGCTTGCTGCTTCTTTTCAGCCTACTTACTCGCAAGCTAACAACAGAATTGGGTCTTCCAGGTTACGACGGAACCATGAGCGAGTGGGATGAATATACTAGATATGTAAATCAAGATGGAGTGGAGGTTACCCCAGTAAGTTATCCCAGAGGGGGTATTATCTTTTAGCTTTCATGTCTTGTTGATTATCTGGATTTGCACCATGAGTCATATTCCTAGTACATAAAGGTTCAGGAATTTTGCTATTATTGTCTACTGGAGCTATCATGTCCAAGTCTGTGTTGATATATGTAATGAGTGGAATGCTATCCATTCTTTTGGTATGGTTTGTACCTTTGATGGGATTTTCTGCTTCTTATTATGGTCTGTGCAGAATTTTCTCCCAATTGTTATTCAAAAGTATTGTCCGTGCTGTTTGTTTGCCACTAACAATATCTTGTATTGAGAATGTCAACATCTTGTATCTCATTCTGTTGTGCCTACATATTTGTGTTACTTCCAAGGACATCAGAATTAACCATGCTAATTGTTCTTTGAATTTCACAGGCAGTATATGGAGATATTTATGGATATGGGTATGCTCCTTATGGCGCGTACTCTCCAGCTAGTTCCCCAGTCCCAACAGTTGATGGTCAGATGTTTGCCGCACAACATTACCAGTATCCAGCTTATTATCAGCCTCCTACCCCGGTTTCTTCTACCACTCAAGGTGAGCAGCAGCCTTCGGCCAATGCTGATAATAAGCCAGCAGCGGCCAAGGCAGATGCTGCCAAAACAACCACAAATGTTGCTCCTAATGGTACTGCTCAGAGTAACAGCGGAACTGCTCCCCTTGGGTCAAGCTACCAGAATTCATCACTGACCCCTGATGGAACCTATAGGGCACCCTTGCTAGGTGGAGTCCCTTCTACTGGTTACGTGGACTCAACCTATGGGTATGACACCACAGGGGCACACTATGCTTGGTATGATGGTTCTGCCTATACCAATGCACAGCAAAGACCAACTACAGCTAATTACACGCCGTCTTCAGCGTATAATAGCAATGGCTCTTCTGCAAGGTATCAGACCAAGAGCCCCACACCGCAGCAGACGGTGAGTACAGAGAAATTGTGTTAATATTTCTATCAATTGTGGGTCAAAGGCATTTAGTGGTCACTATTTTCTGCTCATGCATGTTTCCTGTCACGCTAAGGCACTACACTGCTTCATAGTGACAGTAGCATGGGGATGTATATAATTTTCCTTGCAATGAAGTTATAAGCTACTGTATTTGTTAGGATGCGATCTCAATAAACTTTGATATTAATTTTCTTCTTCTGAAACATAGTGGGGGTTCTTGCATAGAAGGCACATTTGATTGTTTTGACCTGCTTATGAAGTTTTACCTTGATTATGCTGTATATAATTTGCATACTGAAGTATATGTTCTCTGTATATTGTTATGTATGCAGGGCAACAGGAGACCAACGACCACAACAGGGTCAGCTACTCCTACATACCCAAACAGGATGTACTCGAGCACCCAGTCTTACAACCAGTATGGAAATTCGGTCAAAACTGGTCTTATGTATGGAAACACTGGCTATGGAAGCACTGGCTACGGAAGCACTGGCTATGGAAGCAGCGGCTACGGAAGCAATGGCTACGGAAGCAGCGGCTATGGAAGCAGTGGCTACGGAAGCAATGGCTATGATTCCAGGTTATATGGTCGGTGGGGTGTTTCTATGGATAGCAGATACAACAGGCCCAGAGGCCGTGGCAACGGATATTATGGTTTTGGCAATGAGAGTCAGGATGGAACAATTGAGCTCAACAGAGGTCCTAGGTCTGGTCGTTTCAAGAACCAGAAAGCATTTGGCCATACTGTTACTATCGCTGTGAAAGGGCAGACCCTCCCTTCAAGTGAAAACAAGAATGCTAGTGACATACCTGATAAGGCACAGTTCAACCTAGAGGATTTCCCTGTCCAGTATGATGATGCAAAGTTTTTTGTCATCAAATCATACAGCGAGGATGATATCCATAAGAGTATAAAATACAATGTGTGGGCAAGTACCACCAATGGAAACAAGAAGCTTGATGCTGCTTATCAAGAAGCTCAGGCAAAGGGCTCTAGCTGCCCTATATTCTTGTTTTTCTCGGTAAGGACGTTCTCCACAGTTGCTACTGCTTTAGGAATGTTGAGTTTGATTTCCTTGGGTTAATTGAATCCCCTTTCTTACAAACTTTCAGGTGAATACAAGTGGACAGTTTGTTGGTGTTGCTGAAATGACTGGTCCTGTTGATTTTGAAAAAACTCTAGAGTACTGGCAACAAGACAAGTGGAATGGTTCATTCTCTGTCAAGTGGCACATTGTCAAGGATGTTCCCAACAACATTCTCAAGCACATCGTCCTTGAGAACAACGAGGGCAAGCCAGTCACAAACAGCCGTGACACACAGGATGTAAGTGTTGATGAATGTTTGTTTTTGTTTGGTTCTCTGACTTCCCAGTTAGGCTGTACCTTAATTGCTCTGTTTACTCCTTTTTGTCGACAATTCAGATCAACCTTGAGCAAGGTATCCAGATGCTTAAGATATTCAAAGAGCATGTCAGCAAGACCTCTATTCTGGAAGACTTTGCCTTCTATGAGAACCGCCAGAAGTTGATGCAGGAGAAGAGAATAAAACAACAGCAGATCCAAAAGCAGGTACATATGGCTCTAGCGAATCGTCATTTCTCATTACTGCCCTTTACTGTTCTGTTCTTGTTGTAGCAACTCTGAATTGATTGTCTAACCATGTATGTAGGTGTGGGACAGCAGGGCTCCGAACCCTGTTGCTGGAGAGAAACAACAGGAAGTCGCCAACGGGAAGCCAAAGGTATCTGTACCGAACGGTGTCAATGGAGAGAAACAGCAGGATGCCGTCAATGGGAAGCCAAAGTCGCCTGTGGTGAATGGTGTTAACGGGGATGCGAAGGTTCCGGCAGAGAAAGCCGCTGCCACCGCTGCTCCTCCGGCCGTTACCTACGCGGCGAAGGTGGCCCAAACAGCAGCGGCCGAGAAGAAGCCTGTGGCGACCGAGAAGAAGCCTGTTGTCGCCAACGGTGCTGTCAAGACCGGAGTAGCTGCTTGATCGCATTACCGGATCCTCCCAGCTAGCCATGAAGAACAAACGGACGGTGCTGGCGAACCAGGCGAGACATGCGGGTTCCAAGGTACTGATCATCAAAGGTGGCGGCTGGAAAGCGGGTCGGATAGTTAGGTTTCCCTAGCTCTCTCCTTTTTCTTCTTCTGTCCTCGTCGTACTATCATCCCTATTTCAGTTTGCTTAGCTCTAAAGACTCCTCCTATAGTGGTATCATCGGAATCGCCAGAAGAAGAGAAAAGAGAAGCTGTGGCAAGACAAAGGTAGTGTCGCCAGGCCGCCATACCCAGTGGCGGTGGCCTGGTGCGGTTGTGTCGCGTCTGTTTTCGGTCGGTATTTGGTGGTGTTTCGAGTAAGTACTATGTGTTTGTGTCGAGTGCTGGGTGAGTGGATCTGAAAGTGGGTTCTAGATTGGAGCTGTTTTCGCGTCTTATTAAGATTATATTACAACAGAAATCTTGCTTTGCTTTGGTTTAGTATCTGAGGCCTCCGTTTTTGGGTGCTCCACTCCACTAGATGGACCATGGATGATAGATAGATGATAGATGGTGCGAAGCTGACCGGGCAAGGGCAAAGCTGGCAAAAGGTGTGGCTTCTTTTTGGGGGCCGTTGCATCTGTGCTTTGCTTGTGGTTCCGTTTGGGGAAGGAAAAGCAGTGGGGTGCTTGGTTGAGTGCTGTGTTGCCTCACTGCTATCCCACTTGACAAGCTTGCTTGAGAATTTCGATGCCTGTTTTTGGTTGCTTGGTGAGTGGTATGTGAATAAATGTCTCTGTCAGTGGGTCACTGGTTTGCATCCAAAAGAGGTGTCAAGGTCGGCTTAAAAAGAATGAGCCTGGATCGATCACCAGCTGCTGTGTGTCATGGTGGTGTCACTACTTGTCACAGCACCACCCCATGGTTCATTTTTTATTTTCCCAGGGAAATTGGGACCTTCAAAATTCTTTATTGATCAATTCTTTGAGTAATATGCACCTTGTCTCACATGGTTTGTAACAAGTGTAGGGTATATACCTCCCTCCCCTCTTGTTTTGACCCCTTCGAAAATCTAAAGCTTGGTTGGAGAGGCTAATCCATCATTCCATTGCATCCCAAACAAGAAGCAACAAAAAATGTAGCTCACTGAACACATACTACTAGCAGCTACCTAACAATTGTTTCTTACTGTATTTGTTAAGCTGCCGGATTAAGACTCCCCGTAGGTAGCTTTGAGCGGCGGGAGAAAGAAGATAATTATCTCTTGATAGCTGTCCAACTCGACCGGAGAAATCAGGAAAGAGCAGTAGACTGATCAGATATCTGAAGAAGCCCGGCCGTGCACCGCGTCGAGGTGGCCCTGCGGCTCAAGGGCGTTCCCTACGAGTTCATCCAGGAGGACCTCAACAACAAGAGTGAGCTGCTGCTGGAGCACAACCCCGTGCACCGCAAGGTGCCGGTGCTCCTCCACGGCGGCCGCCGGCCGGCCCTCTGCGAGTCGCTGGTCATCGTCGAGTACGTCGACGAGGCCTTCCCCCGTGGCCCCGCTCTCCTGCCGGCCGACCCGCTCGCCCGCGCCGCCGCCCGCTTCATCGACGACGAGTGCGGGGCGTGCACGTGGGTGGCGCTGTGGGGGGAGGGCGAGGGAGGCGGTTCTTCGGCGGCGACCACGTCGGCTTCCTCGACGTCGCCGCCAGCGGGCTCGCGTGCTGGCTGGGGGTGTTCGAGGAGATGGCCGGGGTGGCGCTGCTCGCCGAGGACGAGCACCCGGCGCTGTGCCGGTGGGCGAGGGAGTACGTCGCGGACGAGGCCGTCAAGGGGTGCCTGCGTGACAGGGAGGCGCTGCTCGCCGCGCTGGCCGCCAGGGAGGACAAGTACGTGTCCACCGCCAGGGCAATGGCTCACAAGTAGACACGATCATGCTGCTCTGCTCTGGACCTCCGGTGATCCGTTCATGAATTTGATACTTGGAACCTATTTGGAGGCCGGCCGGATCGTTGGCTGGCAAATGAATGGATTTGTTAAGGTGTTTTTCTTTGGAAATTTCGCACACATTAAACATTTGTCAAATTACAGCACGGAATCCATGAGAGAAACAGAGAGAGGACGTGTGTCCAGGAACATTTGCATTAAAAACTCGATTGAAGCAGATTTCTGCAAACCCCGTCCTCATCGCTTGTTGTCTTCAAAGACGAAGAAACACCATGACACATGAGTTCAAACATCGACAACCGGGGAATGAAGTTTTATTCCAAAGGTCGGCACCACGCACCACCGTCATCCAAACGCCGCCATGGAACACACTAAACCTAACCCTAACTACAACCGAGGCAGAGAGCAACCCGCCTCCCCGATAGCTTTTTTCCTGGATGAGAGGGATTCATGGTTGAATCAACGATGTGAATATACTGTGCGGCAATTTTGAACTCATGACGGCATTGCTTGTTGCCAACTACTGTGACTGTCGGCTAGCTCTGCCGTGCAAGCGTGAAACTTTATCTGCACCTGTTCGCCAACTAGGCTCCCCGTGGTGACATGTCGAGTGTAGGGAAGAGCGACGTGCCGATAAATCGCAGTCAGGCTATAAATTTCGAAGCTAAATGAGAAGTTAAAAAAGAGCGAAAGAGAAATTTTTGTCAGGAAAGTGATGTAAATGTTGAACAAACTAGTAAATTTAAGCAAGAAAAAAAAATAAAAAAGAAATTGTCAGAAGTGGGGTTTGAACCCACGCCCTCGTTAGAGGACCAGAACTTGAGTCTGGCGCCTTAGACCACTCGGCCATCCTGACTTGTACGACAACTACAGTTTTAGAACATATCTATAGATTATTACTACTCCGCACCTGCATCTGTATAACAGTGTGTATTTTTTTTGCCTTCTCCGTATAACATTGTGTAAATTGAAGTACTAGTGCATGACAACTTATTCAGCAGACACTCCATCTGAGAACCGTTCCTTCCTACAAGTAAATTCCTATCCATGCCAACATTTATCATTTCAGCATCGGCTTCAGGGTTCCTGAACAAAAACTGAAACACACTACATACATGTTTTTGAATTGCAAAAAACGAAGATCATGTAGTTCTTTTCTGATGCTCATGTTTCTGATGATCATGTTTCTGTTCCTATCTACTCCCTCCATTTAGAATTACTTGTCACGGAAATGGATGTATCTAGACGTATTTTAGTTCTAGATACATCTATTTCCAAGACAAGTAATTTGGAACGGAGGGAATACGTAGCAAAGAGAGCACAAGGACAAGGAGAAACCACCTATCCTCAAGCCGCTGGATATGAGGCTGCGGTGACACCCAATCGGCCTCGAGCCTCAAGGGGAAGGAAGCTAGGCTACCACCTTCCCCTTCTCCGCTAGCTATCACTCACTCCAGCGCTCCGCTCCGATGGCCGCCGCCTCCTTCCTCCCCCTCCATCTCCCGGCCTCCCCCAGGCCGGCCACCGTGGCCGCGAGGGCAGCCTCGGGCGTGGCGTCGACGGTGCCCGCCGCCACGCAGACGTCGCAGCTGGAGGAGACGTTCGGGCGGAAGGGCCTCCGGTTCGGGACGGACGCCACGGGCGCGCCCACGGCGGAGCTGAGCGTCCGCAACGGCAGCTCGCTGCAGCTGCGGCTCAACGACGGGCTGGTCACTTCGTACCGGCCCAAGGTGTCCTGGGAGGGCGGGGACGGCTGCCGGGAGCTGCTCCACACCGTGGCCGCCGCCGGCGCGGTCAAGGGCGGCGTCGGGCTGGTGCTCAACGAGGCCTCCTCGTCGTCATCGCTGCTCGGCGCGTCGGAGTGGTCGGTGGCGGACGTGGACTCGGACTCGTACGACGCGGTGCAGGTGGAGCTCGGGTGCGGCGTCGGCGGGGCCAAGCTGGAGGTGTCGTACGTGGTGACGCTGTACCCGCTGAGCATGGCGACGGCGGTGATCGTCAAGAACAACGGGGCCAAGCCGGTGGAGCTGACGGGCGCCGTGCTGAGCCACATCAAGTTCGACAAGCGGCGGGGCACGGCCGTGGAGGGCCTCCGGGGGTGCCCCTACTGCTCCCACCCGCCGCCGGCGGCCGGGTTCGCGCTGCTCACCCCCGCCGAGGCCATGAAGCGGGAGGAGTCCGGGTGGTTCGGCGGCGGCGGCGGGGAGGAGCCCCGGCAGGGCGCCTGGACCGTGGAGGAGAACCTCTACACCATCCTCAAGAAGAAGGTGAGCAGGGTGTACGCGGCGCCGCCGGAGGAGAGGAAGAAGCGCATCTACAGCACCGCGCCCTCCAAGTTCACCACCATCGACCAGGTTCGTTCGTTTCTTGGGATGCATGCAATGTACTGTATGATAATCATTCATCGACTGATAATATTTGGACTGTGGTGCAGTCTAGCGGGCTGGGGTTCAGGCTGGTGAGGATGGGGTTCGAGGACCTGTACCTGAGCAGCCCGGGAGGACTGTACGAGAAGTTCGGCAACGACTACTTCCTCTGCACCGGGCCGGCGTCCATCCTCGTGCCCGTCGTCGTCGGCCCCGGCGAGGAGTGGAGGGGGGCACAGGTCATCGAGCACGACAACTTGTAACTGCTTTTTTCTTGCGTGCCAACAGAGTTACACAAGAAATCATGTACATTCTCACATGGGGATGAATCTTGTAACTACCCATTGCGATCAATATGTACACATGCAGTAGATTACTTGCCCATCTCGTAACTAACATACACATGCAGTAGATTACATGGTCACGTGTGAAGAAGACTTGAAAACCTCAAAGGAAGTTATGCTTTGGAAAATAACAAGCATAAAGTTGGACACTCCCTCATAGAATTCACTGTATCAGCTCAACATAATCCACATAACTCCAGACACAATCATCTGGTACAAAAGAACCAAGCCCTGGTGGCAACATAATCGCGGTAAGCACCACCTATTTCTGAGAATGTTTACTCAAGTAAACCCGCATCCTTGAGAGCAGTCTCAAAATTGTCCTCGCTTTTCCAGTTGGGGACCTCAGGCACTTTGTGCTGGAAGTAGTCCTCGATCTTTGTCATCACAACTTCATCAGTTTGACCACATAGCAGGTTGAACACAGCTCCTGTCACCACCAAAAATTCAGTTAGAACACACTCAACAGAGATTAGCTGATAAACTGGCATAACAAAACTTACGTTTCAAACTGATAAATCATGAACGCAATCAAAGGAAATCAATTGACTGTCTCAAGAAATAAGAGATCACAACTTCTTAAGAAAAAATGAAATGGAACAAACATGAGGCCAATAATCAACAAACAATGGTCACATCAGTTCTATCTTATCCTAATAAAGGAAGCTAAAAATCCTATTGCAAAATCCTACTCATAGAAGACTGGTTCTGCCGACAAATTCAATCTTAGGCTAGGACAAACAGACATTAGGATTGACTAAATGTAGCGTGTTTGATTATCACTGATAACAGGTTCAATCTGCCATTTACCCCAAGCCATTTAATTCCTAACAAAACCATTAATGTCTGTCACGGTGTTGACAAAAATATGCTTACAGTGGTGTATGTTCATAGACTGATAGACATAAATTTACCTTTTCGGCCAAAGCGTCCAGCTCTGCCAATTCTGTGCAGGTACACCTCATAATCAGGTTCATCTCTCGTATTATACTTGATTGGCATGTCGTAGTTGATGACCAGGTTAACCTTTCAAAGGAAGAATGTTAGTAGGAAAATTTATACTGGTGTGTCAAAAACTCAAAATAGCACAGTACCTGTGCTTGGTCAAACCCACGAGCAAGAACATCAGTTGATATAAGAACCTTGGTGTATCCATCTTTGAATTCCTGAATTACTTTTTCCCTCTCTGCTTGGTCAAGGGATCCTTGAATTGAGGAGCACACATAGTCCTCTTTTGTCAAAGCATTATGTACATTCTTAGTACTATTTCTTGTCCTCACAAAGATGATAACCTGTCCAACCTTTTGCCCAAACTCAAAGATCTTGTCCCTTATAACCTCTATTTTGGCCGCCTCATCAGGGACTCGGACTTTATATTGCTTTACTTTTTCCAAAGTAAGATCTTCCTTCTTCACAAATATTTGGTTTCCGTCCTTAATGACCCTTGTAACAAATTCCTTCACTTTCTCGTTGAAGGTCGCAGAGAAGAGAAGCACCTGTTATAAATAGAATTAAAATAAGTAAAAGAGGACCTCCACAAATAAAGAGAGTAAAAGAGGCACCATATAGAAACAGAAACAATCACATCTAACCAAGAATTTAGAAATTATATAGCCAAGGCTAGTTGAATGGCACAGCCATGGAATTACACCGACAGTTACAAGCATTACAAAAGATTATCCACCACATGGACAAGGCTAGTTGAGGACTGAAAGTATATCAACACCATCAATGGATGAACTTGAAAAAACTAGGGCAATAACAGCAGCTGATTGGCTATAAGATTATGATAATAGGAGTGCCCAAATGTGCAATTAACTAATTACATAGAACATACAATAGTATATGATTCTTTCTATTCCTAAAATTATCAACTTCGGAGATGCCCCATGCATGAACATGCAGCCTTCCAAAAAATAAAGAAAATGAATATCACAATAAAAAAACATACAAATTGAACACAACCCACTGCATAAAGAAAATGACTCTTTTCCAAAGCCTCTACCTATCATTAGCAATTGATAACAAGTTCAACAAGCAGCACATGAGCACATACAAAGCATAGGAACAGGTTGTCTCCCTTAATAGCCTACCAAGTCCCAACATTCAAAATACTCACATCTGATTTTGAAATGTAACCAAGGTGCAAGCTGTTGTGTGTGATTCTACTGCCACAGTCAAAAGTAGTCAGTTCACTAAAAAAGGGTTACCTGACAGCCACCAGCACTATTTTGTATATCCTTCATGATCCTTAAAGAATCAGTTTTAAAGCCCTCCTGCAAGAAGCATTCAACAGGATAAGAAACTGGACTCATTCAATCACAAAAGCAACTAGTTTACATGAGAGCCCGCAACGTCGGAATTTTGAGCGCCTCAAATTTGGTTCCAGTTATATGAATATTTCTACTGTGGGTACTCCATAATGATTTATGTCCTTGGAAAACAGATGCCTTTTTCTGTTATTTTTATCCACTCAGACCAAACAGAAACCAAGAGTTTTTGGTCATCACACCTAACATAACACGACCGCACCATGATGACACCCCTTAATGCCCACTAGGATATCAGGAGTACAAACTATACAGGCCGCATTCTTTCATAGTCTAATTCACTGACTCATACTAGACTAAAGGTTATTTCAATTTCAATTTCAACTAAGCCACAAGAAAGTTACCTACCACAGAGGAAGCAAGTTAGTGGCAAGTCTAGCAAGTAAGTGCCACTGCTTTGCTTCTTTGCTCTTGCGGATAGTTATCGGCGTACATCTCATGGCTATGAAGGGGAAGGTCTAAGGGACTTAACCTCAAAACACCCTCATTGTTTGCTGCTAAGAAACATCTGCTCTATTTCTTACAAGGACATGAAGGCTCGAATGAATATTGCCGTCAATGCCATTATTGTTTGTAGCTGAGAAATGACACCTGTAATGAGTATGGACCTAACATCCTTCTCCCTTCACTATTAGCATGTGTCTTACACTAAACTACAGTAAGTCGCCCGGAAAACACTGGGTGTAATGAGTATGGACCTTATTATCCTTCTCGCTTCACTGTTAGCATGTGTCTTACACTAAACGAACAGTAAGTCACCCTTAAAACACTGGGCGCATCAAGGACACAAATAGATCGATGACAAGAGAACTAAGCTGTACCTCAGCAAGCATATGATCTGCCTCGTCGAACACAAGAATCTTGATCTCCCTAGTCGCAAGCTTCTTATGGGTGATCCACTTGGTGAGCGTCCCAGAAGTGCCAATCACCACCTGATCGGTCACCGGAGCCATTTTGCTGATGGGCATATACTCTTTCTGAGACGACGGGATTGCACAGGCACAGGTGATGCCGGTAAACTTGCCCATCCTCATGAGCACAGATTTATTCTGCACAGACCAACCAATCAAAATCAGTACAGTACATTACAAGGTATAAAACTAGCAGAATCAAGCTTCATACTGCAGTTTGTTATTATATCTAATAACCAGATGAGAGCACATTTGCAGAGCGTGGTAGTGGAGAGGATCAAGCCAAGAGACGTACCTGCTGCGCGAGCTCCCTGGTGGGGCAGATGCAGATGGCCTGGGGGACCTTGCGGTTGGGGTCGACGCGGCTGAGCATGCCGAGGACGAAGCAGGTGGTCTTGCCGGAGCCGTTGTGCGCCTGCGCGACGAGGTCCCTGTAGGGCGGCGTGAGGATCATGGGGAGCGTGATGGCCTGGATCTTGCTGGGGCGGCTGAACCCCATCTCGTCGTGCAGCCCCTTGAGCAGCTCGGGGGTGAGCTTCACGTCCTCGAAGGTCGTGGCCGACTCGTACACCGTGCCGCCCGAGGTCACCTGGAGAAGCAAAGCACCGAATCAGCAGCCGGCCGACATCGAGAGGCGGCGGCGGCGGGGAGCAGAGCGGAGCGGAGAGGCGCGTACGGCCTGGATTTGGGAGTCGTCGGAGTCGTCGAGCAGGGGCGGGCCCTCGGGGCCGCCGCCGTCGTCGTCCGGCACGGAGAGCGAGAGCGCCTCGATCTGCTTCGCCTGCGCCTCCACCGCCGGCTCGATGGGGGCGGAGGAGGAGGAGGCGGAGGAGGCGGCGGCGGCGAGCTCGGCCTCCGCCTCCGCCTTGGCCTTGGCCTCCTCCTCCTCCTCGACGTCGGCCCAGGACTTCTTCTCCGGCTCGGGCTTGGCGGCGCCGGCGTCGGCCATCGGAGCAGATCGGGAAGGATCGATGGCGATGAGAGCTGCTTCAGCTAGAGTCGGTTCGCGTTTTTCCGGGTTTGCTCCCGATTTGGGAGGGGATCGATTATATTGTGCTGCGTGAGGTGTTTTTTTAGCTTGGCATGTAAGCGGAGCGCTGCTTAAGGCTGGTCACAATGGGGAGGAACTTAGGAGTAACATCACACACTCCAATACAACTTTGCTTATGTGTCACATATTTAATGAAGAGAGAGGTGCTTGTGGTAACTAGCTAAGTTACCGGAACATCACACACTCCAAGAAAAAATGAGTCTATAACCTAATAAATACATTGTTGCATGACACTATATAGATGTTCCTACCCACTGTGGAGGTAGTAACATAGTCTAGGAAAGTGTGTAAGTTACTAGACTATGTTCTTGCCCATTGTGACCAGCCTAAGATTTACGCGCACGCGGTCTCAGGCGGTTAATTTTTTTTAATTGGTTCTCAGGCGGTTAATGCCGAGCGCCCCCTGAGCGTCAAATAATAAGGCCTCTTTTGGTTCATAGGATAGGATTATCATAGAAATAGGAAATTTATAGAAAATGAGATGACATGTTACTCAAATCCTATGAGTAGGAATAGGAAACGAGATGTCATTTAGTTCACATCAAAGGAATTTTTTCATTGAGTCTAGTCTCATTTTTATTTTTTCCTATAAAATGTGGAGGATAGGAACCAACCCTATGTAGAAATAGGAATCCATTCCTATGAACCAAATGGCTCTAAAGGAAAAAATCCTATAAGAATCATATCCTTTAGAATTCCTATGAAATTCCTACAAACCAAAGGAGGCCTAAATGGGGCAAAGGTCCACGCCTACCGGGTGCCCACAGCCCAATAACATATTTTTTCTTTCTTTCAGAAATTGTATTTTAAAAGTTTTTGTTTATTTTTTATGTTAAGACAAGTTTAAGAAATGGAACAAAACCACAAGTAAACGGAAATGTTAAAAGTCCGACATCAGATTTTTAGCGCTGAAAATGTCTGTCATGCAAAAACAGATAGAATTGTCATGCTTATGTATCATAATTTGCCATGTTCTACAGTGAACATTGCCGTGCAATGTAAAACAGAAAAATTGTCATGCAACAACAATTAATTGATGTGCGTTCAATCGGGGCCTCACGTACCAGAGGGTGCCAGATTTTAACCCTAAGAATTTGATGTCAGATTTATATTGAAATCCCAGATAAAATCGGCTGCGCATGCGATATGCATTTTGTCGGCAATTTGATACAACAATGCTAATCCCTGTTTCACGGACGAGAGTGCCTTAGCCCGCAACTCTCAAGTTGGATTTTCGATCGAACATGAACACACGTTCCCATAGGTTGGTCTTTTAGATGTTGTAACATAAAAATAACCAAATTCTGAGTCGGCCAAGGTACAATTGTTTCGCAATCCGTAGGAGTAGCCTATAAACTATTACGGGTTAGTTTTTGCCTGTCTCTAAAGAATAGGTTTTTGTAGCCACTGATAGCCATATATCTCAACGTGAGGTTTCCCATGGTTTCTCTAATACGGTTTTGGTTCCTGCTCTATCATGTGTGCACACGCTGACTAAGGGGATGGCTTGCGCGTATAACTAGCAGTGTGTGATCTAAGTTTTATTGCATTCCGTTCTCCGGTGCTGGTGGCGGCACAATTCTCTTCCGCGACGAGTCGGGAGGGTCTGGAGAGGCGTGCATCAATGATCTCCTGCAAACATATGGGCCCCGATGAGAAAGGACTTTGATGATCTCATGTGTGAAAAGTTGTAGATGTGGCAAAGCAAGAAGTCAACTAGTCAAGTGTATGCTCATTGCTGGAGTTCAAATGAGCAATCCTTTCATGCTAAGCACGTTATGGTCATATGAATGCGGCCTAGAGTCCAATGAAGGAGATTAGATTTAGGACTTTAGAGGATAATATGTCCATGATTTGGAGCTTCTGCTTAGTGTATTGGAAGAAGGTGATAAAGGGAGGTTCATCGCTCTTTCAAAATGATGGCATGATAATCGAACCATATGATGGTCTGTCGGCCCCGAAGTTGATTGGTCGGAATCATATCACTATTTTGGATCCAAATTGCAAGATCTTCATGTGCAAGATTGAAAGAACATGCGGTGCCCCCATGTTTGGTTTTGGTAATTGATGACAATCTCTATGGACTAATGGTTTCCTTGAGTTAGATTTGAAGGTTTTGTCCATAGGCTTTTCTTGGAGTGCATGTGTTGATTTCAAGGAGAGTTTGTGTCGACCAAGGTGTTATTCAAGGAATTATCCAAAGATTGGTCATGTGAGAGTTGAGCTTATTGCAAGCATGTCTTGAAGAAGAAGATTGTGTGATCATTCATGTCTACCTTCAAGACATCATTCAAATGAAGAGAATTGAAAAGGTTCAAGGTTGATCAAGACTAAGTCAAGAGTGAATCAAGTTGATCAACTCACAAAGCGCAGAAGGTGTACCGAGAGGGATCAAGTGATCCCATGGTATGGTAAGAATTGTCAATTACGCTTTGTGTACTAACCCATGGTCTTCGTGAGAGTTCTTTGTGGGGTTAGGTTGCGGTGTGCAAGTTCAAGTGGAGCATCACGAAGAAATCAAATGCTTGAAGCTTGCCGTCCTTTGTGGTGATAATGGACTTGTGAAGATGTGCGGAAGAGTGGCTCACCCATAGTGGAGTATGGGGGAGCAATCAACTAGTCTTCATCGAGTCAACACAATCAAGAAAGGTGGTCCAACTTGAGGGAGTCAAGATTGTCATCATCTAGCTCAAGTGGACCATGTGCAAGGCAAAGGTTTGCCCTTGATAGGTTTTCTATTTTACCGGTCTCATGATGGTAGTTGGGAGACCGGGTTATAGGATCGATTGCCGTACTATCAAGAGGGGCTCTCGATGAGTAGCTTGATCGTATCGTTTGTAGAGAGCTCAAACCATTGCATCCTTACATCATCTTTCTTGGTTCATGTTTGGTTCTCTTTGTGAGTCTTAGAGCTTATGGTCATCTTGATGACAAGCTTGAGTTCATCGAAAACGGAGTTCGCATGCATTTTCTATGATGTTTTCGTTGTTGGAGGTTTTGCCGGTTCTTCTCGGTTGGAGGTTTCACTCCTCTATTTGTTGGCATACCTCCCCTGCCTCTTCTTACTATATCCAGTCGCAGTTTTGATGCTACTCGTCGTCTTGTTTCCAACTGTTGGGGAACATAGTAATTTCAAAAAATTTCCTACGCACACGCAAGATCATGGTGATGCATAGCAACGAGAGGGGAGAGTATGATCTACGTACCCTAGTAGATCGACAACGGAAGCGTTAACTTGGTTGATGTAGTCGTACGTCTTCACGGCCTGGCCGATCAAGCACCGAAACTACGGCACCTCCGAGTTCTAGCGCACGTTCAGCTCGATGATGATCCCCGGACTCCGATCCAGCAAAGTGTCGAGGAAGAGTTCCGTCAGCACAACGGCGTGGTGACGATCTTGATGTACTACCGTCGCAGGGCTTCGCCTAAGCACCGCTACAATATTATCGAGGACTATGGTGGAAGGGGGCACCGCACACGGCTAAGAATATGATCACGTGGATCAACTTGTGTCTTTGGGGTGCCTCTTGCCTCCGTATATAAAGGATCCAAGGGGGGGGGGTGCGGCCGGCCCTAGTAGGAGGCGCGCAGGAGGAGTCCTACTCCTATCGGGAGTAGGACTCCCCTCCCTTTCCTTGTCCAAGTAGGAGAGGGGGAAGGAGAGAAGGAAAAGGGGGGGGGGGGCGCCGCCCCTTCCTCCTTGTCCAATTCGGACTTAGGGGGAGAGGGGGCGTGCAGCCTGCCCTGGCAGCCCCTCCTCTTCTCCACTTTAGGCCCATGAGGCCCATTAACCCCCGGGGGGGTTCCGTTACCCCCCCGGTGCTCCGGTTTTATCCGAAACTTCCCCGGAACACTTCCGGTGTCCGAATATAGCCGTCCAATATATCAATCTTTATGTCTCGACCATTTCGAGACTCCTCGTCATGTCCGTGATCACATTCGAGACTCCGAACTAACTTCGGTACATCAAAACTCATAAACTCATAATATAACTGTCATCGAAACCTTAAGCGTGCGGACCCTACGGGTTCGAGAACAATGTAGACATGACCGAGACACGTCTCCGGTCAATAACCAATAGCGGAACCTGGATGCTCATATTGGCTCCTACATACTCTACGAAGATCTTTTTTCGGTCAGACCGCATAACAACATACGTTGTTCCCTTTGTCATCGGTATGTTACTTGCCCGAGATTCGATCGTCGGTATCCCATACCTAGTTCAATCTCGTTACCGGCAAGTCTCTTTACTCATTCCGTAATACATCATCTCACAACTAACTCATTAGTTGCAATGCTTGAAAGGCTTATGTGATGTGTATTACCGAGAGGGCCCAGAGATACCTCTCCGACAATCGGAGTGACAAATCCTAATCTCGAAATACGCCAACCCAACATGTACCTTTGGAGACACCTATAGAGCACCTTTATAATCACCCATTTACGTTGTGACGTTTGGTAGCACACAAAGTGTTCCTCCGGCAAACGGGAGTTGCATAATCTCATAGTCATAGGAACATGTATAAGTTATGAAGAAAGCAATAGCAACATACTAAATGATCGGGTGCTAAGCTAATGGAATGGGTCATGTCAATCGGATCATTCATCTAATGATGTGATCCTGTTAATCAAATGACAACTCTTTGTCCATGGTTAGGAAACATAACCATCTTTGATTAACAAGCTAGTCTAGTAGAGGCATACTAGTGACACTCTGTTTGTCTATGTATTCACACATGTATTATGTTTCCGGTTAATACAATTCTAGCATGAATAATAAACTTTTATCATGATATATAAGGAAATAAATAATAACTTTATTATTGCCTCTAGGGCATATTTCCTTCAGTCTCCCACTTGCACTAGAGTCAATAATCTAGATTACACAGTAATGATTC